CACACACACACACACACACACACACACACACACACACACACACACACACACACACACACACAGGAGCATATCCCATCCAGAAATGTGTCTTTCTGTTTGTCCTTCGATTTTTCTCGACAGCCGCTCATCCGCTCAACTTCAAACTGAGCGGTTGTGTGGTTAAGACCCCAGGAAGTGATCTGAATGAGTGGTTCTCCGCACCCTGACACTAACCCTCATTTATTTTAACCTGAAAGCAGCTTTGGGAGTTTGTAAATAAAACCCTTTTTATGGTTTTATAATGTAAAAGCATATAAAAATGGTTATTGTTGTTATAGGAGAGTTGTTTTGCTCTCACTCACTTCGCCTCCAGAGTCAGAGCGATGATCCCAGCAGCCAGTGGGGCTGAGGCAGACGTCCCAGTGTGAGAGTCTGTGCATTTTTGCCTGAGGTCCGTGGTCACCTTGGAGACAGGAGACGGGATAGAAGAGCACAGAGAAACAGCAGGAGAAACACAGTTAATATGACACGATGGGTTTTCGTACTTCAGCACAGGGGGAGATTCAAGCTGAGAGATGTTGAGGGTTAGGTCGGAGGAAGGCTGGGGACAACAGGAGCTCTGCCTGCAGCGAAGGGATGTGGGAAGAGAAAGAGGAGGAGGAGAGGAGGTGCAGGTAGGTTCAGTCTCAGGGATGTGGATCGCTGCCAAAGGGTCACAGCTGGGGCAGTGAATGTCAGCCAACTCAGCCCAGCCAGGACGGGCGGCGGTGAGACGCAGCGTGTTAGCGCTCTGGGTACAATTCCGCTCTCTGTCTGTGGCAGTGCCAGAGAGTTAATGAGGCCTGTGTGGGTCACGATGAGGACACGTCAGAAATGACAAAGGAGCCAGAGGGCACGGTGAGCTGTGAGGGCCGGGGACATAATCTTGGTTTTGCAACTTTTGGCCTGACAGATTGTGGCGCTAATGGTCATCATCACGTCTATGTGTCAGAGGCGTAAAAGCGAGAGGACAGTCTGCACTGGCAAACTGTTAGATCTCAGAAAAGGATCAAATAACACAAAGGCTGTGATATTTCATTCATTTCCCCCCATTGTTTTCGTTGTTGTCATCACTTTTCATCTATCGGTGAAATTATTTATCAGGAAAAGTCCAAGTATTTCATGGATTCTGAGTTTTATAAGCTTATAAAATTAAAAAAATATATTTTGGGGTTTTATACTTCAGTAAAAAATCACATGAATGAATAATGAACACCCTTACACCGATTAGGTTTTAACAAATATATATGTACAGTATATATTAGAGGCTGATGGATTTATATTTATTTTCAGCAAATAAATACAGAAAAAATGTGCATATTTACATTTTGTGCAGAAAATGAATAGTATTCTTTATATCTTAAGTTATTTAAAATTCCTTTCTTTATCATAACAGTTTGATAACGACTGTGGAGGCGGCTCAGCTCACACAGTCTCACCGTGTCTCCTTCCATGTGTCAGTCTCGTCATGGCAGCTCTCTGCTTTTATCAGATAACAGCCATCTGATTCCTGGTACAGCTGGAGCTGCTCTCTGAGCCGCCTCAACGCCCACGACCACATCTTAGGGATTTTTAAAAAATGTTTTTAATAAATAATGTAAAATATCATTAATGGCAAATCCACATCGGCCATATACATTAATTGTGTTTGAATTTCAATGTCAAGCAAAAAACATTGATGTGCAATTAGTGAGTTTTGTCTTTTGCAAACAGCTTCTTCTTTCTAGATCTGTGAACTGCAGATCATTTAATTGCTGCACACACAAACACACACACATACACACACACACGGCCATAAACGTTTGTTTTCGTCTCATTGGTAATTCTGTGACATCGAGGGACACCAGGCTGCCATCTCTGTCCACTAAATGAGCTACTTGTCAAAAGCAGCTCAGCTTGTGATCTGACAGACAAATAAATGAAAAAGCAGAGTTTTCCTTCATCCAAAGTTTTGGACTGCATGGACTTACTGATGCAACAAATGGCAGCCTCTGCCTGCTAAAGCGTCAATACAAAGCCGCTGCTGTGGTATATTTCAAAATGACTTCAATTTGGCCCATTTGATGAGTTGTGTTGAGTCGCCTGCAGCACGCCTCTGGAGCATTTCGAAGGGAACGGCAGATTTGTGGTTGTTTAATGTTATTCTCTGTCCCGGAGGCAAGTCTTTATTCAGCTGACACGCAGCGTGAAGGAAGCCTGTGACATCTCGGTGTTTGTCAGCTTCGCTCGCTGTCACACATCAGTCACTGTGATTCTGACAGTTGGATGCTTATTTCTGATTCGAGAGAAACAAGATGAATGTATACGTACACTTGAACAGGGTTATTATGGATGTTCCAACATCAACATTTATCTGATGACAATACAAAGTGTGATACGCAAGGATCCATTTAGAAGAACATATTTTATATACGGATGTATGAAGTCTTGATAGAATAGTGGGAGATTTGAGTATGGTTGCATAAACTGTTGTGTTTGCTCCTACTGAACTTTGAGTCTTGTTGTATTTATTATGAAGGATCTATTTATAAATGGATGTTGTCTCACTGTGTACTGTGTACATGTATCTCTACTGGAGTCACACAGATATGGGTTTTTGCCAATGCAGATATTAATGTACAAAAAGATTCAGATACCAATACACAAAAAAACTGAGAATGGCTTATTGGCAAATCCATTGACAAAGTAATGTGATTGAGGTTTGATATTTTACAGTTTTACCATAACCTTATTATAAAAAAAACATGAATAAAAAGCAAACACAAATATTTGGAACTGAATTAAGGAAGTATATATTAAGAAAACATTGTTTACAATTTGTTAACTCTGTAAAATACAACCTAAATACAAATATTTGTGAGATATCTACAGATTTTTATTAGCCAACCAATAATTCATTTGGGTTCTAATCCCAACAAATATAAACCACAAATTGTGGAATTTATTATTTTGAAAATGCAGTTCAGCCTTTGGTGTCCTAAGAATAATATTTATTGTTATTCACCGATTTGATGCATTTTGAGGTACATGTCAAATTTAGTATTTTTTAGATTTTATTTTTCTAGCTCTGTGTATGATATGAGAAGCTGCAGAACATTGATGTGTAGTATTTGTGTATTTATATTGCATGTGGGGAAATGCTTGCATGGTTACAATTATTTAAGATGGCTTCTTCTTGTCACAAACTATTTGCCAGATGAAGGTCTCACAGCGGAACATTGTAAAAAAAAAAAAAACAACTTTGACAGTGTGCAGGATTTGTCTGCTATTTTTGTGGTGCTGATATTTACAGTGTGCTCAATATATGAAGAATAAGAATAATCCTCCACAAGATCTGATGTGTGTGTGTGTGTGTGTGTGTGTGTGTGTGTGTGTGTGTGTGTGTGTACACTCACTATCTGTTTCTCCCCCGGGTTTCCGGAGCTGAAGGTGGAGGCGAGCGTGGAGGAGCAGGGTTCGCTGTACCATGGCACGTTGCCAGACTGCGTGGTGCTGCTGATGGACAGGGTGTAAATGCTGTTTGTGTAGCCGTCGCAGTTACAGCTGTCCTGCTCACGGCCACCGTTACCAGAGGCCCACACAAAGATAGAGCCCAGTTCACCACGTCCCTGTGAGGTACAGAAACACACAGTGTGTTCATACAGCTGTGATCCACGTATATAAAGAGAGAGAGAAAGTAATGAGAACTGAGCAAAGTGTGAAAAATTGGCTTTGACAAAGACATTGGTCTCACTCCTTAAACGCTTTGTCATTTATGTGCTTTCTTCCAGAAATACTGAGTTGCTGTAGGCACAGCTCTTATTAATACATCATAATGACAGGGGAATTATTGCAGCAGAAAATCAGATAACAAATAGAAGAAATGTAATTACAGAATCTGCCCAAGCTGAATATAATTCAGGGGTCTGATAAATGACATCAGGACGCCTGGCAGTGAGACTGCATGCTCCTGAAATAAACCAAATACATGGGGACATTTAGTCCAGTTGGCTCTGCACCGTCAACAGGAGGCAAGAAATCACAGGGTGGTTTATGACTCCGAAAAAAACTGCACTGAACGATTTTATTACAGTAACAAAGGGTGTCATTTTTCAACTAAGGAGCATTGCAAAGATTAGTTTGTTCCTTTCATTCCATGACACACAAACCCTTTTTCATGCATTCGTGTCCAGTTGATAAGATTATTCTAACTCTTCATTCGCCATGGAAATCAATGGAGCGCTTTCAGCCTGAACAAATAAACGTGTCTCATAGTGCTCACAAGATGTGCAAAACGAAGTGCACATTTTCTCATTTTGTCTTCCCCGCTTTTGTAACCTATGACCTTTAGAATTGATTTTTGAGTTTTACTGCTTATTTTTAAGGCATTGGTTGGTCTGCCCCCCACACTGCTGATCTTTCTCTCACCATGCTGCAGATTGTAGTCCGGGGTCTACTGACCACTTGCTGCTGACTGTCTCTGGGGGCCGTGCTGGAGAGAGAGACAAAGGGCAGCAAGGCATCTGCTGTCAGGGCTCCACAGCTCTGAAATAGCCCCTGGTGCCAGAGGAACTTTTTTGTTAAAGTCTCAGAGACTTGTTAGTAAGTATTTTCTACCTATGCTGTCATGTTTTATTCCACTTTCTTCCAGTAAACATATACATTTTGCAATTTTTTCTTTTTCTTGTTTGTTAGACCTCATTATCTCTAATTCTTTCATCTGATCTTTGTAAAAACACTTTTTGTCCTTTATGAAATGCTCGAAATAAACCAACTAAGTTTTTAATATAATTTATTCACAACTCGCATTTCTATTCTGCACTCATCACATCCTGTCATTCAAAAGTTAATAAAACTAATAAAGATGTGAAAGCAGTGATGCAGACACTGTGACGCTCAGAATGAAAATGAAAGATAAATATAATTTTCTTACACTTTTGCTGCAGTTTGAACCAAAGTGGGTGGATAACACATTAATTTCAGAGCACATATGGTGAGGGGAAGCGATAAAAGAAGGTGGAGGCACCTCTCTTACATCTTCTGGATGGCAAGAAAGATAAATGAAGAACTTGTTTTCAGAGTGAGTGTTTGGAATAAAACCACAATACCTCAACCTGCTGTCCCCAATGTAGGTTCAACCTGTTTAGCTCTGATGAATTTACTGATTTTTTTCAATTCATAACTACAATGGCACTTTAGTATCGCTCATACCTCTGCCAAGGTCCAACAGTCCAATACACATTATCTCAGGTGCAAATGTTAAAAAAAAGAAATCGTCGATCCACAACAACATTTACAGGGTTCTTTTCAGGCCGGTGGAAATCTGTTTAGAAGTTTTTGCAAATCCATCCATCCAACTAATCAACCGACCGACCATAAGACCAACAAACCAACCAGCCATTAAAACAACCAACCATGAAAACAAAAAAACTACCCACCAACTTACCAACCAACCAAAGAACTAACAAACACACAAACACAAGGAGGTGAAAACATAACCTTCCTGGTGAAGGTAATCTGGGTAATGGTAAAGTGTTTATATCTTACAACATGTCACATGACTATTTTGGTCCAACCACGATTAAGCTATCATGAAGTTTGAGAGGGAACATTTTTCTCCCCCAACTAACCAGAAATGAAGTATGACTTGAACCGTGGATTTGTTCCTGTCACATCAGCCCTTCCAGTGCTGGTGATGTGACAGCCTTCACAAAGTTGAAATAAAAATGCTTCTCCTGGACGCATGATGCTGTCTGCACTGCACTGCATCAATACTGGAGCCTTGAGGCTGTAGCTAATACGCTAAAACCTTCCAGCCCAATTTATGACCTGACACTGACTTTGCTGCAGGTTACGGAGGCAACAACACTTCATCGCTGAGGGTTATCTCACTGCCAGGGGAACACGCGCTGAATCAAAAAGGTCCTGTTGTGCCGCTGTCAGGCAGATTTTACTCACTGTGGTAAACGATGCATTTTCACAGCCATACATGAATAATTCTGCTCCACCAGAAATTAGCAGATTCATTCATTAATACGCCAGTTAGCGTAGCCTTTGAATCTGACTGCTGCTGATCAGTGAAGGCTGCTCTGTTTCTGTTTTCATTCATCTCACATCCATCATTCAGCAGTTCAGCTGACGTCTTTTGATGTAGCGATGCTGACACATGAGAGATGATATTAGCCTTAGATAAAATGTCATACTCTTTAATGTCTTACTCATCCATCACTGAAGGACTAGTCAGAGGGCAATTACCAAACTCTCCTTGAGTCTGTCCTTTACTATAGTAGAGCTACATCTCATAGAGATATCCTCTATTAAAAATTGATACAGTATGATCGTACAGGCTGGAAATATCACAACACACTAATGTTGTAGGGCTGCAACTAAGAATCATTCTTTATTGAATAATCTGAAAATAATTATTGATTATTTTCTGTCAATTAACTTGACCAATAAATAATAACCATAACATCCACCATTAATCTTTAACTCATATTTTCTTAAAAATTTATTCACAAATAAAAATGTCCGTACATAAAAACAACAATGAAAAGGGCCATGCACACCTTCAAAAATACAGAGGACAGAAAAAAAGCAGATGCAGGAGAGAGAAGCGGAATCTCACACACTGTCCTGTACTTATAGAAAAACTTTATTACATGTTCTGATCCTGTGCACCTTCATCAAGTAAACGGTGAGACAAATGACATTCAAACAAATATATAGGCTACACCTCTTGAAAGCAGCCAATCAAAGAGAAGAAACTATCAGGGAGGTGTGTCATCTCTTCTAATGAGTTAAATGGAAGCAGACTGTGGGTCTGATAGTTTCTTCTCTCTGATTGGCTGCTTTCAAGGAGGTGTAGCATATAAATGTGTTTGAATGTCCTTTGTCTCACCATTTACCTGATGAAGGTCCACAGGACAGACACACTGTGCATGTAATACAGTTTTTTGTTAGGACAGGGTGCAAGATTCCTCTCAGTTTAACGGAGTGCAGTGCACCATTTTATTAGGTGACTTGTTTAAAACACTCCCACACTTTGGATGATTATGTTCTCGCTTTTAGATCGCGTTCTGTTCCCCCATCATTGGAGATTAAAGTACACAGTGCAATGCATCAATGCATTCCACACAGAGTGATGTATTTGAGTAATCAATGACATTGACTCGTCCTTATATTGTATGTTGTTGAGCACCAGCCGTCACTTCACTTTAGTTTAAAGGAAGAGTTTGGCATTATGGGACAAATGTTCGAAGAGAAGGTTGAAACCTCTCTCGTGTCTGTAAGGTAAATATGAAGCTGGAGCCAGCACATGGTTAGCTTAGCTTAACAGAGACTTGCTGGGCTCTGTGCACCAGCAGCTCTGAGGCTCATTGATGAACTTGTCTTATCTCATTTGACAAACAAAAGTTTCATTTTACAGGACTGTGTGTTTATACTGAATGTTGTTGGCCGGGGCCAGTGGTCGGTCACAGGAGACTCCAGGAAGTTACCTGATGTGTCAAATGTATTGTTTTTTACCTGCATTATACAAACACAATACAATGTGCTAATTTGTGAGCTTTAACCTTTGCACATAGCCACGCTAATTGTTCCTTCCAGTTTCCGAGTCATTATACTGAGCCAAGCTACTGGATGTAGCTTAAATCTTCTCATCTACTCTCATGAAAGAAAATAAGTACAAGTCCCAAAATGTCAAAGTAGTTCTTTAAAGAGCGGATGCAAGTTTAATACTGGTACTATAAAACAGGGAAGACATAAAGATTTAAATTCCAAACCTATGCTGTGACTGACCTTGGTAATTCCCTGGAGAAAAGCCTCCTTTGCCAGCTTGGCAGGGCCGTCCAATGACTTGCCATCGTCTTCCGGGCCCCAGCTGGCGCTGTAAATGTGGATGTGCTGTGGATTGAGGCTAAGGGAATGAGCCTCAACCATGTCTGTCACCTCCCCATCCAACATACGAACTCCTGTCAAACAAACACGTATTGCAGCGCAGATTAGCTCAGCGAACTAGAGAAGTGCAAAGTGACAGAATGACAGATGGTAAAGAGATGGTGAGCGTATGAAGTTTTGCCTCAGATGGGTGGAGAGGTTTCACAACAGTGCAAGTGACAAGAAAAGAAAAGTTGATATAAAAGGGGGAAAGAAATTGGTGGGACAGCAACTTCCCTTATTATCTTCAGCTACACACAAAAACGCCAGAAAACAGAAAAACAGGCAGAAGAAAGGACTTCACAGGAAAAGCTAAAGACATCAGAGACTTCCTATTTTAGTTTGGAGTACAAAGCTTCATCCACAGATGTGACTCAGAGGGACACTACACTATTTTAGCATCACGCAAACAGAAAACCCAGATGGTTGTTACTGTTTCCTGACCACACCAAACACACAGGAGAGGACAAGTGGACAAATCTAACAGACTGCAGAGGAGAGAACATACACACACACATATAAATGAGCTGAGAGTTTACAGAGCCGTTAACAGACTGGTGTCCACAGGGTAACACCAAATATCACCTTTCATTGTACCTGAACGCAGCCCCGCCTGAGCCTTTGAAGTGAGCGGCCTCAGATCACTACCCTGAACTTTAATGACTGTAGAGAGGCGTGAAATGATCCGCCATCAAATAAGGTGCATTACTGGGGGAGAGGAACCCGGGACCGCAGAGGCAACAACACAACTGACGATGTCCACATTAAGACTTCAATAATCCATTCTACACAACCCGCCTGCCCAGCAGGCACAAACACAAGCCACTGGGGATGCAGCCAAAGCAGGAATTACTCAGCAGGCATGGGGAGATTCACAATAACACAAGCTTGAATACTGAGTAGCCACAAAAAAATAAACTTTACTGAGGTAAACATCCAACATAAAGCACAGTGTTTGCTCGGTGGTCATTATGTGAGTGCTGTATTGCAGCACTGACGATAATCACTGTCGTAACTATTCTCATCAACCTCCTGCAGTTTGACGTTTCCTTATTAAGACGCTGCTGTGCCAGTTCCCTGCTGCTCTGGTGAGTCAGAGGGAACAGGTAGAGATGTAGCTCTGTGAGCCTGGCAGAGGGAAACAGGTACAGTGGGTGGAGGGAAACACAGAGTGAGCCAAGTGGGGTCAATTACAGTGTTTAAATACGAATCACTAATTACCTCTCAGTGAGGATACGCACATTCAGGCTTCCCCACAAACAAGAGCTTGTGCTCACATGTGCATACACACGTAGCGCCGGTACTTGGAAGCGAATCACAGCTGTTTATAAACAATCCACTGACCCCATGACGTGAACAGATTCACAGCGGAGTAATTTACGAGAGCGGCGCTCTGTCGGGAGATGAATGGTAATGAATACAAAGAAGGAGAGTTATGAGTAACATCTGTGAACGGGACTTCTCGGGGCTCCACGGGCCACGCCGAGTCTTGTTGGCTGCCACCGTGTCATTGACAGATTGTCTGGAGACAAAAGCTACAAAAAGCTTATTTGGAATATTTAATCAAGAGCAAGAAATACTGTAAAAAAGGAAGAAGAAAACCTGACTTAGTTTGTGATCACAGGTGTAATTTAAAAGAACCTCTACATATCTTCTTCCTTAATGCACATTATTATTGTTTCAACATGATTTTGCCCTGACAGTCTCATTATGACCAAGTTTTCAGCAGATGCTATGAACAGATGTTCACTGGGTTGTAGTTTTCTTGGCATTTCTATATTTAATTTATGTCTCTCCATCGTCACCGAGGTCAAAACAAAACAGAGCTTTGTTTTCTCTAATTGGAAGAAAAGAAGTAGAAAGGTTCAAATGAAGGTGGGATGAGATTCAGTTTCACCCTGTCACCAAAAATAAATGTGAAACCCACATGTTGTTATGTGCCGTGATATCAATAATAAGGTTGTTAATTTCCTTATACCAAGAAGTAGATGCTTACAGTTCATTTTCATTTTCATGTTAAACTTTTCACATTTTATTATGAAGCAGCCTTATGGTCTTTGCACATTCAAAATGCTTTATAGTGCAATTAATTTGTCAGTTATTAAAATTCTTCAAACCTGTATCCAGCCAATGAGAGCTTTCACATCAGTAATATTGCTGAGCGATATTTGCGACTTCAAGTTTTTTGAGTGGAGTTTAAGCTCCTGAACCAAGCAGTCAAACTCACCAAGTTCTCTGCCCATTTTAAATATTGTGCCTGGTATTTAAATTTTTTTTCTTTGTATGAATAAGAGAAAGACCCAGATCATCTTCGCTTCATGTTGAATCCATCATTTCCTGAGGGATGATTCTTTTTTCCATTCCTCTTTTATTCACTGAATCGCATCACACTTAATGTGAATAGTCAGGCACGTCGTAATTCCCCAATTTCATGTTGTTTATTTATGTTGCCTTTGATGTGCAAAAGCCTTAAAATGAAAACAAAATCCCTCGTCAATCGGCTCTCAACAGTCCATAATGACACAGCTAAATTGCATTCACACACTTTGCTGTGACACATTTAGCTCTGGTGGCTCCCAGTTCACTAGACCATCTCTGAGACGTTTCTACACCTCATCCACCTGAGGTAAATTCATTTGATAGTACTGAATTTGGAAAGGCACTCAAGGTCTGACTGCTTACATCAGAGCAAAAACCAAACTAAGAGGTTGAAGCAACCGCTTAAGAGACACGATTGTGTCGGAGCTCACATCTGAGGAAGGCTAAAAAATTCTGCACCACTGAAATTTCCCAAGAGATCAGTGGTTTGGTTTCCTCCAGACATGACACTTAGAATTGAGGACAGACCATTTAATCTTGGTTTCACCAGACCAGTGAATCTTGTTTTTCATAGACCAAGAATCCTTTAGGTGTTTTTTTTTGGTGTAAACTTTAACCAGAGGATAAGTTTCCATCAGACATCTGCGGTCGTAAAACCCAGATCAGTGAAGGGCTGCGGTGATGTTTTTGTCATTATCAGATATTGACGTGATTGATGAGGGAGAAAAAAAACTTTTCTTTACACGACAGAACAACATGTGAACAAAGCAAAGGGGAATAAATTCCTCACTGTGTGTTTACTGACAGGGACACACACACAACAGTCAACATGAAGCCACTACTCATTTCCAATAGAAATAGAGAGATCAAAAGATATTCTCCTCAGTGGCAATACATCAAGGACATTCATTATGTGTCTGTCTCTGCAGCAGCACACTTTACACTGAACAACAGAATAAATCAGTCACAAAAAGAAACAAACCGTTGTCAGCTTTAAAATCCATGGAACTATTATAAAATATAGAGACCTGGCTAAATCAGATTCAGGTCCCAGATTAAAGGGATCTAAGCTGAAAGAAAATCTACATTAATAAGTTTGACCATAAATATTGTTATGCATGAATATTAAGCTGATTTCGATTATCTAAAATCAAACAATGTTCCAAATTTAAAATCTCGATGGTCGGCTTGACTCACCTCCAATTTTAGCATTATAGGCCACGCCTACACCACACACACCATTGTTGGCTGCAGCCGCAACTTCTCCTGCACATCGAGTCCCATGTCTGCGAAGAGAAAACAGTGACAGACAAAAGAAAAAGAAATTTAATCAACAGTTGACTGTACAAAAAGAGTTGTGCTGGGCTTTTGAATAATACTTCAAATGAATGTTACTAAAAATACACCACAGTTAAAAGAGAAGCATGAACCCAATGGTCCTTTTGCAACCAAAGCAGCTTTCAGCCTTTCACATTAAAAGGCTTTTTATTTCAGTTATTAAAGAATTCAAGACTTATGGGAACACAGAAGAAGAGAACACTGACCTATACGTCACAACGTATTGATTTCTCTTCCTCACAGAATAACAAGCATCACATTCAGAGATGAAAACTTCACTTTTCAAACTTCGCAGTTACACAAAAATGCTTTTGAGAGCCAGAAGTCCCATTTGCACTCTGATGTTTGAAGGAATAGAAAACCTTGTCTCAGTTATAGTGTAGAGGTAAATGTATATAGTAGTAAAAGGTAGTTATGTAGTTAATTTGCAGTCATCAGACTTTTGTATCAAAAGCAGCTTTTACACAAGTACTGAAGTCAGTGGGAGTGAATGTGAGAGCACAAATGTTCAAGTCCTCCTGATATTATACGGAAATTTCCTGCCAGCCCCCTTCAAGATGAAAAAGATGTGTCATTCATGTGTAAGAAAACAAGATTGTCCGTCTGAAAACAGCTTTTTAAACAACAGGATAATTTGTTCTGGAAACTGTCCGGAAATCTGGGTCTGGAGATTTGACCTGTTTTCATGTCTGAAAACAGCAAAACAGTCTTGACAAAGAAGCAGAATCATTAAGGTTCTGATTGTCAAACTCAATACACACATTTTCAGGGTGAGTAAAGTTAACCACTGAATGTTTATGAGTTTCCATCAGTAACCAGGTCTGCGATATAACAGCTTGTAGTTGTACTGCAGTATATACCTGTGAGACTACAGCTGTACTTGCAAGAGTGGTTAAATAAACATACTAGAGATAGCTCTGCCTTTGACTTTTACTTTGGTTTCTCATAAAAAATATAGGAACTCTTTTTATCCAGTTGCCCAGTTCACAGGACGGAGGCTCTTCCAATCCAAACTGGCCCATCTAAAACTAACTTTACTTTGACAGTCACCAGCCGCATGACATTCAAATGAGATATGACTTGTTATTGATGGACGGAAATTATTCAGACCCTCATAAATACCTTCAGTCAGTCATGAGTTTCTGAGAACAGAGAGGTTCCCTATAGAAGGCTGTCTGGGTTTCAAACACACCAAGACTTAACAAACTAAAAGACTACTCCAACCCCAAAAACCACCACAGATCCAGGATGATAAACGTCTAAATTGAAACTGCATCATTGCAGCAAAGAAAGTAATCGTTAGTGAAAAAGATTTAATTTGTCTCATTGACTTCTGCCGCGTGATCAGACTGCAAATGGACAGAGTGGATTGGGTGTTTGGCATTTAACATAGGTCATTAAGATTGTCTCCTGATTACAGTGCAGATATCTGATTAGGAAGTTCGCAGCGTCTCAGCCGTCTCTGGGGCGCGCTGTGTGAATGTTATTGGAACAGAGCTCATTAGATCCACAGTTTTAGTTTGGAAGAGCCAAAAAAATGACTTCCTTTTTTGATCTCCCAACCTCCCCGATGATGAGGCTGAGGACAAAGTCGTTTCACAGGGTCAGAGCACAGCTACGCCTCCAGCTGGGATCCTGATTAGACTCAGTGTGTCTCTGTGATATATTACCCACTCACTAATTCTCAGTTTTGTTCACTCTAACACGTTTTAGCGAAAGATCACCACTGTCTTCTGTCTAATTTGTCCTGTCTTTCCTTTCTTTCTTAAAGCTCATTATTTATGACGTCAAAGGAAAAGGATGGTGTGGGAAAAAATCATTTCACTGTTAAATCTTGCTTCCTAACAAATCATTCATGGCAATCAATTCCTCTGACAGGACAGATTTTTCACTGACTGATCTGCCCTTATAGAAGGGCCTCGGCGCAGCATATGTCAGGGTGTAATATATCACAAACTTAATTAAAATGCTATCATTGCTATTGTGAGGCTAAACTTCACAGTTATACTGCTAACTGGTTCCTTTCATATTGTATTAATGGCAGCGTTGTTGACAGCTCCCCCAAGAACAATATATGTACTCAGGGGTTAGATTGGGATTTATTGAATGGGGAGGCCATTTCTAAGCAGCGTTTGAAAGGGGAAAGTAATGCAGAATAAAATTCAACTTGACATTCAGTAACAATCTAATATACATGAGGGATTCATTACAAATCAGTTAATTTAGCAGTCTATTAAAGAAACATCTAGAGTATAGAGAAGCTTGAGGCACAACCCAGTCTCAGTTCATTTGATTCTAGATATGTTGATCTCAGTACAGCAGGACTTCACTGTCTGCATGTGAAGTGGTGAGCAGAGCTTTTAGTGAGCATGTTTTGTTTAATCAGAGGAGCTAAGAGGCAAGTACCTACCCACTCATTAGACTTTGGCTCACCACTGCGTCTGACAAACGTGTGGCTGACTGGCTCCACAGGCTCGTCCACACTTATATCAATCACAAAATGCTGCAGACTGGGAGCTGAATGGAGACTGTCAGTCACTTTATGCAAAAAACACCAACGATCTAGTGAGTGACTTTACTGTTTGACAAAAATATGAGTGAGATGATTTAATGTCGCTGCTGGATATGCCAGGACGTTTGAACACAGAAAAAACTTAGCATCAGTGCTCAGCAGGACTGACCCCGCACAGTCAACCTGCTGCATTTCTAGATTTTAATGAACCAGATAACATTAAACATAACAACAAATGTCTAAACCAGTCTAATGCCCAGGCATCCAGAGACATTTTTTTTTTGGAAATGATGCTTGAAGATGATAAATGCACAAAGGTTTGAACTTGTTTGTTGTAATATGAAATTTCACTGCACTCAATGCAATTTATATACAGGTACATATTCTGTCACATGCTCTAGGGCACAGAACGTAGAAATATCAATATGGGTCAAAAACATGCATAGTTACGACTCTGGCAAGATCAGAGACGTGGTCCAGAACATGTGCAGATATTTTTTGTATAAATATCAAATTCAAGCATCAACTGTCAATGATTTTGATTTAAAAACATAAAAAGATCTTTTCCCCTGCAGCTTTTACTCATACAACTGAATTAAATTATTGAAATATCTGTTTGTGATTCAACAAGCCAATCAGAGCTTAGCCTGAGTCAAAAGAGGGTCTTGAGATCTGTGATGTCTTTAGCTGCTAATGTCTGTGCATCCATGTTATTGTTTCATCCACAGTTTTTATAAAAATGCCCCTCTGGTCCAAAGCACATATCCTCAAACCAGAGTCAGAGATAGGGTGAGGACACTAATAGAGATGCTGGACATATCAAGAAACAGCTGTTTTGAATACTATCTGCATGTGTGTGAATGAGTGATTGGCCTAGACTGAATTCAGCTGAGACAGTTTAATATATCGAGGGGGGAGGCTCAGATGTGCCGGAGCACAGAAAAGGGTTTATGGCGAAGCTACAATCTTATCCGTCAAATGTCCATGAAATGAAATGATTTCCCAGAAACTCGAATGAACGCCTCCGTTCTACATCCATCTAAAGTGGATTGAAAAAGGTGACGACAAATGAGGCCAGCCTGAAGAGCAGTTTGACAAGAAATGTTAAAGTTTGCACAAGAGACATGGACAAGACAACAAAAGGCTTTTTAAAAATAACACAGCGTCATCTCGGAGAAAAACAATCAAAGAAAATGAATCATTAGTGTGTGACCTGCAGGACTGTACAAACTACAGGATTTGTCCAGAAGACAAGCAGTGGAGAAAAAAACCCCCAACAAAGCTTGAAGCTGAGACAAAAGGCTGCTGATCCAGACACATTCTATTTACTGCAGCCAATGTGACCCACCTTATCTTATCAGGAGACACAAACGGGAAAGAGCGCTGTAATGTTTTTATCTCTCCTGCTGAGGACAAGGGACCATATTTTGTCAAGTCATTGCCTTGTCATTTACAGGGAAATGGAATCATGACAACATATGTCTCCAGACATTATGCAATGTACTGTAACCACAAACCATACAGAGTCTATATGGGTTACTGTGCTTTCTATTAATGCACGCAGCATTCAGTCACTCACAGAAAAGATCAAATTGATTATCGTTGCATCAATTTTTGTATAATCATAAGTCACTTCAAAATATTTACTCTTAATTAAACAATATGTAAACGTACATAAACCATAAAAACAAAGTGAGCAGTTATGAGGTAAAATTTGATATCGCACTTCAGTAGATGAAAAGCTGTATCCTGGCCCAGCTGGGTTAATGGAAGCTCTAGCATTTGTAGGTTTTCACTTTTGGGATTCTGATATCAGAATAAAGTCAGAATAATGTCTCGTATTTGACATCGTTAAGCAATAACTCACTGCAGGCTAAGATAGTTCAAAGCTTTTTTGTATAAGCTTCTTTATAAAGCATTCATAAAGAATTGTTCTTACAAAGAAATAAGCAACATTTGTTGGCTGCATGCAGTGTAAGTGAGTTGCTATGCAACATGGTAACTTATTTCTCTTCATCTTTTTTTGAACAAATTGATTTCACTATTGTTGCCTATTTTGTGCAACCACTTCAAAACAGTCCAGGGTTAGAACGACGGCCTTGAAAACCGTTGAGAAGCTTTCATTTATTGTTAAGTGGGTGTATGTCACTCTGTGTGGGTAAGAAATTACTTCACTTTCACCGAGGCTACTGAGAATCTGGCAAACATGGTCAGGCACCAATCACGGAGGCTGTGATTGACGTTGTTCTGCCTGCTTATATAAATACTGTATATAGCTGGGACTATGGGAAAAAACACTAGTAGAAATGGCTGTTTCTAAAAAGGAGATAACGTTTATCAGACTCAATCTTTCCAGTTGAAATTTTTCTTCACGCTCAACAATCTCTACTGTCGTTGCAAACTTGCAGTGAAGAAAAAGGAACCCTTGCTGACCCG